AAACCATCATTCTTCTTCAACCCCAACCTCCTTCAGCCCTTCCCTTCAACTTTGAATTCCTTCCAAATCCTAATAACCCAAATCCACAAACACTCCATTAAAACTCATACCTTAGAATAGAAACGAGTAGAAGGGAGAAGAAGAAGCATTTGAAATCAAAAGTAAAGTAAATCGAAACGTAAATACGAACCTGGTCAATCTTGAGCCAAAAGTGTTTAGAAACTGCACGAACCGAAAGCGAAGGGACGGAAACCATCATTGCAAATCGTGAGAAGCAATGAAGGTTGGAATCATCGATTCGCCTTTTCGCATCTGCGGTTATTATTGCTTGTTGATACGCGATGAAGATGTTTGAAATCTGAGCATATTTCTTGTTGTTTTGCTAAATAGAAAAGATGATGATGATACCATTTCTAATGTTGTTGTATTTTAACCATGCCTTTTTAAAAAAACCTTGATTCTCATTGTCACTTTGTAAGGTTTGTTTTTTTTAAAAAGGAAGATGGTTGATGATGTTTTCATTCGAGTCGTGTTAAAAGGGATGTGGCTTAAGGGCTTCAAATCCTGTTTTTTCTCTCTTTCTAATCCACCCTTCTTTTTTCTATTCAAACCGAGTCATTTTCTTGGATGAACAGGCTTAAAGCCCATAGTGATTCCATACAATTGCCACCCTTCATGATATTTTATGTACCCCATCTTGTTTGTTTTTTTCAAATTTTATTCATTTTCTTTTGTTTTAGTACTTATTTTATTTGCTTCAAATGTTTATTTGATTTATACCCTAACTTTCCTTGTTCATTTATTTTGTGTTTTTTTTCATTATCATTTCCATGTTGTTTTCTCATTTTCACTTAAATTTTAATTATATTTTTTTGATCGATGGAGTCTTTGGATTTGTAAACGTAGATTTATCGAAGTCGATAACCTTCATGATGTCAAATCTGTGGAAAATGACCATTTGGGTCATTTTCTATACTTGGGATCGTGATAGGCTCTACCTTCGATTAATCGACACGAGTTTATGATTAAGACGAAATCCCCCTCTTTTTGGTCCGTGCGACACGAATAAATTGGAGAATGATCCTCAATATCATTTCTCTATCTTGTTTTTAGCACGGATACCAATTCACGCGACCTCCTATAGTTTGACTTTCATCATAAGTCGAGCTACGATAGTTTAGCATTGTATTTCGTCCCGATTCAATTCACAAATCAACTAACCACTAACTTTACTTTCTGTCAATATACAATTGTTTTACTTTCAGTCAAATATACCCTTGATTTAATTTCAGTCAATTATATCTTGATTTATATTATCTTGTTCATATATTTGTTAATATTTATCTTGATTATATTATTATGAATATTATCTCGATTATATTGTTATATATCTTGGCATATTATTCATATTGTTCATCTCCTATTCATAATCAATTCGAAAACACTTAAAAAATATCGAAACGATAAAAGCCTAAATTGGCGGACTGCTGGTTATTTGTCCGAGCAATAGACTATTGGACTTTATCAGAAACCTTAGCTTAGAGTTTTGTCCGACTTTTACTCAAGGCATAGTTTAGGACACTTCACACACACACGACTTTTTATTGGGCTACCTTACAACGAGACCTTTTATTTCGTGCAATCTCGTGTAACTCATATGTATCCCTCTCCCATTTTGATGTATGCTTTCATATTTCTTTGATTATGGTTTATCTTCTAGGGGCACCCTCAGGGACTAGCATAGATTAAAATTGTTCTCAAACAAATTCTCGATTTGTCATTGAGCCATTTTCAAACACCCTCCGTAAGTCGAGTGCTCATACGCATTCTCTGTCAACCTATTACACACACTTTCACATTTCATTATGGTTTCGATATTGGGGGCACCCTCAGGGACTAGTATCGTTTCTCATAACCTAACCCTATATTCGTTGTCAAGTCGGTTCTATTTTCAATCAAACCCTCGACTCGTCGCCGAGCCATTTTTCAAACCAACTTCCATTCCAACATGTTTTGCACACAAATATAAGTCAAGTGGTATTTTAAGCCGAGTGCCTCTGCTGGTGGAACTCCAACCATAGTCTCAGTATCTCTATCTGAGTCTGAATCTGAGTCGGAATGCTCTGAATAAACAGTGACTCTTTCTTCTTCTAGTGCTGGCGCTAAAGGTTCTACTTCTAAACCTATCAGTCTTGCTTGTCTACACCTCACGTGTAGAGTTTTTTCGATCTCTACGTCAAAAGAAAAATTAGCTGAGGATTCTCCTCGCATAAAAATGTTAGACGCAGATTAGTAGTAACAGAATGCAAACAATAATAATAATAATAATAATAATAATAATAACTAAAAATTAAATTTTGGTCGCCGAGCAACAAAACTTCAATTGAATTACAATTAACTTATATTTCGGAAGTCTCCGGCAACGGAGCCAAAAATTTGACCGGTAAAATAACAAGTGTACTATTTTGCCAATGTAGTAATAAGAGGGGATTTCCCCGAATATCGATCTCAAGGACTGCAGAGGAAATACAAGTTCTATAGTAATTCAGATAAATAAAAGCACTTGGAGTTTTGAGATTGTTTGGTTTAATTATAAAAATATTTGCAAGTAAAATAGACAAATTGACTAAGTAGTTTAAACATATATGAGTAACATGCTAGGGGAATTGTATGATTCGACTCAATAACAACTCTGAATTAACACTGCAACAATTTATTGTAACTAACTAATTATCGATTCTTTAGATTGTTTACTCCTAAGTCTTTAGTGAGAAAATCTTTAATCATCCATCCTAATTTCTATGTCCATAGAGAATTATAAATAAAATTAAGAAATCAATTATCAAGAATATTTTGGTTCCTATAGGGTATCCCTAGTCCTAGGTGATATCTACTACAGAATGATCAAAAGAAAAGTATTAACAACGGCGATCCAGCCTAATCGTTAATCGAAAATCAAACCCTGTTGGTCCGATAGGGCAAGCATTAAGAATAACTAGAGATCAAATTAGTTATGAAAACAAATGAATTGTTATTGCAATACTGATATCAGAGTCAAATTCAAATTAGTTACACCCCCTAGCATTGAGGCGTTTAACGACTCATATTATTCGACGAAAATACAAAGTAAAAACTATACATTACAAGATAATAGGTTTCTTTGATCTTCAATTGCTTCTGCTCATGAAAACCTTATATTCCAATCACCTTGATCTCTCCAATCTTGATCGTGTAATTCTTCTCTGGCCAAAAAGTCTCATTTTCCTTCTCAAAACACGTCTTAAATACTCCAAAGTCCAACACAACAATAGACCCTTAGGGATCACAAAGGTCACGAAAACAAGAAAATTAAAAGATGAAGCGCTTTAACTAACACAGGCGGCCGTGTTAGCCCCCTGGATGTCTGATGAAAACACTGTTTGCTCCAGACTTGCTGACACGGACACCCGTGTCAGTCCACTACTTTTCTACATAATTTTATCTCTTGGCATCCTCCTGACACGGGCCGTGTCAGGTGACACAGGTGGCCGTGTTAGGCCACTGTTTCCCTTCAAAAACTTTTCTGAATTCTTGCTGTTTTTCTCAATTTTTGCTCTGGTTCTTCTTGATTGCTTTTCTGAACCTAAAAATAATGGAAATACCAAACCAATGCATAAAATGCGATAAAAGAAAATAAAATGCAACTAAACGTATCAGACAATTAACTAAAACTAATGGTAAAATCATGTACAAAAACCATTGATCAACATGTATGGTGCAGAGCATGAAGACAATGGATGACGCAAGGTGATGATGCTGTGAAGAAGGAGGACTTCATGGGCCTCCAGAGTTGGCATTTTTGTTATTCTCCTTTTTTGTATTTTAATTTAAATGTATTTAATGATGTAAAAAAAATAATATATGACATTTAAAAATTGAATGTGAAATGCTCTTTTCAAAATCAAATATTAGTATATTACAAAATGGACTGTAATTTAATTTGACTTTATGCTCAAAAGCGCATGTGTAATGTATGCAATTAATTTTTATTAAAAGTCTCTTTCTTAAATTAATTTGTGTTAATGAACGCTAAACTATTTCTTTTCAGAACAAACTTATCATTTCAAAACCCAATTATGTAAAACCACTAAGTTTTGAACAAAATGATCAAAGGATGTAAAGCAAATGTATACATGGACTGTGGTTATTAGATAAGAGAGAAAAATTAAATTTATTATAAATTTAATTTCGTTTTTAAGTGGTTATTAGATAAGAGAGAAAAAAATTATTTTTATTTTTTAATTAATAAAAAAATTATGATTAATTATTTCTAAATATACATGTTATATTGATTACTATACAAGTTTTTGTGCTTTCTCAAAATCCTTAATTTCTGATTACATCATCTAACATAAAAATTGTTTCATTTGTTTTAGAAATATCAAAGTGTCCAATAAATAGCTAAAAAATTGTCTTCTTGGTTTATTTTATTTTCAATTTAATACGTTTTACTATTAATTATTTTATTTTATTTTCAATTTTTAAAATTTTTCTTTTTACAAAATGACTCATATTCAAATAATTTAAAATTTTAAATACATATTCAATTAAATCTTTGTTATATTAATATCTACATGGTAAAATATGATTGAATAAATGTCTTTTTCCTTACAAATATAAAAAACAAAAAAATAAAAAATCATACAAATTATAAAACAGACAGAGATTAAGAAAGAAACCTGTGATGATCCTGAAATTATTGTCTATGTCAAGAGAGAAAGCCACGTCCAATGAAAGAAAGAGGGAGCAAACACATAGCTATTAACAAGGCTTAAGCCAGAGCAATTCACTAACCACGAATTAATCACAATCAATCATTTTCTAACTGAAATTCAAAACAACTAACCGTGTTTTCCTCTAAAGCCTTTTTTAAACTCTTACATAAAACGACTCAACAATTCTCTCTTTAAACATCATTTTTCTTCTCTAACTTTTCTATCTTTCTTATACAATTAATTAACATGTCTTCACCTCTCAAACTTCTTTGTATTTCCTTCCTTTCCATCATCACTATTGTTTCTGCTGCCTACATTCCAGGCCCGAAAACGGTCACTTACGACGGCCGCTCGCTCCTTATCAATGGAAAACGAGAACTTTTTTTCTCCGGTTCCATTCATTATCCACGAAGTGTCCCAGAAGTACGTTACTTCTTCCTCAAGTAACAATATTTTTGTCTGTTTGTTTATCTATCTATCCGTCTAATACTTCGATGCATATTTGTTTCAGGATTGGCCACTGATTCTTGATAAGGCAAGACATGGAGGGATAAATTTAATACAAACATACGTCTTTTGGAATGGTCATGAGTCTGAGAAAGGCGCCGTACGTAAATTATTTCTCGAACCGGATCTTTTTTTAATATACATTCGTATTAATTCATGTCCTATATATATGCAGTTGAACTTTGAAGGAAGGTATGATTTGGTAAAATTCCTTAGACTTGTACAAGAGAAAGGAATGTATGCTACCCTTAGAGTTGGCCCTTTCATCCAAGCTGAATGGAATCACGGGTATATATATATCTATATATGGAGTCTGCAATGTTATTTATATATCATATAGTATTAATGATTGATATAATGTTAATGTGACAGAGGACTTCCATATTGGCTAAGAGAGGTACCCGACATCATATTCCGTTCGAACAATGAACCTTTTAAGGTAACCAACCATGATAATGTAACAGATGATTTAAGATAAATGAAATGTGAAATTAACACTTTGTAATTTGCAGGCACACATGAAAGAATATGTATCAAGCATTATAGCAAAAATGCAACAAGAAAAACTCTTTGCTCCTCAAGGAGGCCCTATCATCTTGGCTCAGGTTCTGATTTTTTACGACGCATGATCGTTCTATGTTATATATATATATGAAGTACTAACGTTTTTTTTATGTATGTACTGCAGATTGAGAATGAGTACAATCATATCCAACTTGCTTATGAAGCTGATGGAGATAGTTATGTTCAATGGGCAGCAAAACTGGCAGTTTCACTATACAACGGAGTTCCATGGATCATGTGCAAGCAAAAGGATGCTCCTGATCCAGTTGTAAGTTCTATGTATAATCAATTTGGTGTCATTTTTTCATTCAAAAAGATAAAGCTTATACGTTCTTCATTTCGCAGATTAATGCTTGCAACGGAAGGCACTGCGGTGATACCTTCGCAGGTCCAAACAAACCATACAAACCATCCATCTGGACCGAAAACTGGACTGCTCAGTAAGTCTATCTTTAGTCTTCGGCAACGTCATATGTCATAAGTTGTTTTCTTAAGTTTTCTCACTCGATAAGTTCAAATAAATCAGTCCAAACAGATCCTAAGTATAGATATTTGTTGGTGATTTGCAACTACAGGTACAGAGTTTTTGGAGATCCACCGTCCCAAAGATCTGCAGAAGACATCGCCTTTTCAGTTGCTCGCTTCTTCTCTAAGAATGGATCATTAGTCAACTATTATATGGTAAATAGCAATATCATCCAAAAAATTTATAGATGAAACCAAACATAGCCGTTGGAATAGTGTTTCTGACTCGACTTATTTTCAAACTCTTGTAGTATCATGGTGGATCAAATTTTGGTAGAACAACCTCAGCCTTTACAACAACATTTTATTACGACGAAGCTCCTCTTGATTCCTATGGTCTGCAAAGAGAACCAAAGTGGAGTCACCTAAGGGATGTTCACAAGGCTGTGAACCTATGTAAGAAGGCTCTACTCAACGGTGAACATACCGCACAAAAAATTAGCCAGTATCATGAGGTAAGTGTCAAATATAGCATATCGGAGAACAATGTTATCGATTAGTTCAAATTCTGCTATGCTCTAGCACTGTCTATTAGACAGCATTGTATTAGAAAGAAGAAATGTATGTCACTGACATTTTAAGCGAAGCTGAAATTTACAAACTATGCAGATTATAGTCTATGAAAAGAAAGGAAGTGATTTATGCGCTGCTTTCATCACTAACAACCACACCCAAAATCCGAAAGTAATAGAATTCAGAGGTTCAAGCTATTATCTACCTCCGCGTTCCATCAGCATTCTTCCTGATTGTAAAACTGTGGTCTTCAACACTCAAAATGTAAAATGGCTATCCTTTAAATTACTTTGTTATCTTTGAGTAATCTTCGGACTTTGCTTATTGTAGCTGACTACTTTTAATAATCAGATTGCTTCGCAACACAACTCAAGAAACTTCGAGAGATCAAAAGTTGCAAACAATCACAAGTGGGAAGTGTATACTGAGCCTATTCCAACCAGCAAGGAATTGCCAGCAAAACAAAAACTTCCTGCTGAGCTTTACAGCTTGCTTAAGGACAGCACTGATTATGGATGGTACATCACTAGGTGAGTGAGTTCATATCTATTCCACATTGCCAAGCATTGAGTATTTTGAAGGCAAATGCTTCTTCTAAGCATGCAAATGATATCTGAGACATCATGAAACTGAAATTTATTTACTGCAGTGTGGAGTTGGGTCCAGAAGACTTGCCAAAGAAGAATGAGATATCACCGGTTATTCGTATTTTGAGTCTTGGCCATTCATTACTTGCTTTTGTAAATGGACAATATGTTGGTAAGCACGCAACACAGAAATTTGAATTCTAAAAGAAAATGGCTCAATCCAATGTAAATATGATGACTTTTTTATGGTTTTAAGGATCTAATCATGGTAGCCATGAAGAGAAAGGCTTTGAATTCCAGAAACCTGTAAGCTTCAAAGTTGGAGTTAACCACATATCTATCTTGGCTTCTTTAGTAGGACTGCCTGTAAGAGAGACTTAACTTTTTTTCATTCTTTTCGTTCAAATACTTTGGCTTAGTTCTTTATTATTCAAAGGAGAACAATAAAAAAAATTGTATCCCTTTAAATACACAGGATAGTGGAGCATACATGGAGCACAGGTATGCAGGGCCTAAGACTGTAACCATCCTTGGTTTGAACTCCGGAACAATTACTCTCACTGCTAATGGTTGGGGTCACCAGGTACTTTAATCTGACACCGGTCGATGATCCTTTTAGAAAATGAATTAACTGAATGTAATCATGTATGTCTGTGTCGTGTCAGACATGAGATATATCTTCAGAAGTGTCGGTGCTAAATGTGATCTAGAAAAAGAAAGAAAAAAACAAGAATAGGGAGGATTATATAATTGAATTGGTGCGAATTTGCAGGTTGGTCTCCAAGGCGAGAAAAATGCAATTTACACCGAGGAGGGATCAAAGAAAGTAGTCTGGAAAGATGCGAAGGGACATAGTTCACCTCTCTCTTGGTACAAGGTATTGGCTATTTAGATTAGAATATGTCTTTAGTCCTATAAAACATTCATTGAATTCTTTCATGATTCCATATTCATTTTGCAGACAAATTTTGAAACTCCAGAGGGAAATTCCCCGGTTGCTATCAAAATGACTGGTATGGGAAAAGGAATGGTTTGGATCAATGGCGAAAGCATCGGTCGTCACTGGATGAGCTATCTCTCTCCACTCGGAAAGCCTACTCAATCAGAGTAAGCAAATCTTTTAATCACTACTTGGATCGCGTTCTAAAGTGTTTTTTCTATCCATTTTGAGATTGTTACTTGTTTGTATCAGGTACCACATTCCAAGATCATTCCTTAAACCAAAAGACAACTTGCTTGTTATATTAGAGGAAGAGGTAGCACATCCAGAAAAAGTTGAGATAGTGAGGGTCAACAGAGATACAGTATGCAGTTACATCACAGAGAATCACCCTCCCAATATCAAGTCATGGTCAAGTAAGAACCAAAAACTCACACCAGTTTCGGCGAAACTCACTCCAGCAGCTGTAATCAAGTGTCCAAACCAAAAAGCCATTAAGGAAATTGAGTTCGCAAGCTTTGGCGATCCTTTAGGTTTCTGTGGAGAGTTTATCATGGGAAAATGTCATGCACCTTCCTCCAAGAAGATTGTTGAGCAGGTAGACCTCTCATTTTTTACCAAAAGATAAACAGCTTTATTAATTGTTTATAGTATAATCTCGAGTAACATGTTTTGTGTGACTTGATTTTATGCAGTATTGCTTAGGAAAAGGATCTTGCGCGGTTCCGATGGACAAAGCACTCTTCGGCATTGGTAAGGATGATTGCCCGGGTGCGATAAAGACACTAGCAGTCCAAGTCAAGTGTGGTCCCTCCAGGGATGAGAAGAATGTGAACGATAAGGGGGCTGAGGAGGCTGAGGATGATGCGATAGAATCGAGTTAGTGATTTGGTTGGTGAAGTTGATTGAGTCCATGAGCTCAAATTTTAGTTAGCTTTTCTTCTCTTTGTTTTAGCAAACAATACCTCAGAGGTTGAGAAGGTTCATGTTTGCATTTGACAAACATTTTGTCAATTCAATGTAGTATTATATACATGTAAATATCAAATAAAAATCACAAGAATTCAATTTTGTTTAATATTCTCTACCTTGTAGCCACTTTAGATTCCTAATAACTCAAATGGAAAAACATAGAAGGTAGGACACATAAAAAAAAATTGTAAACTTTTCAAAAGTGACCGGTCAAGAAAAAGAGCCAGAGAGTGTGAGAAGAATAATAATAAAAACACGACTCTGTATTGTATTATTTATGATGACGAGTCTATAAATCTTGGATGTTATGATTCAACTTAGATTATTAATTTGAGAGTCTCGAACATGATTTTTTTTATTTTATATTGTTGGTGATTTTGACATGCTAAAAATGAGAAATGAAGGATGTTTGAAATTATTGGTAGGTGAGATGTTTGAGTTGATATTAGTATTGGATGCAAGTTATAACTGAAGAATGTTAGACATGTTTCTAATTTCAGTAAAAAAAATTGGATATTAAGAGTTATCGCACATAATTTGATTATTGTGACATATCTTAGATTACAAAAGGGTCACTAGTGGTAACAAAGAAATAAAGTAACATATCTAAAAACTTGCACTCATTGTTTTTCTAGTCAACAACATATAATATTTTCTTTCATAATTCAGATTCTCATAAGAGGTTAAATATTTTAAATTTAGTTCACATTGAAGTTTGCATGTTGGTGGTGCTTCATATTTTATTATTTTTATTACAAGCACTTTAAAAAACTATGGAGTTCTTTTTATAAGAATCTAAATATCATGTATTCAATGTCTTCGAGCGCTTTCATGCAGGTATTAAAAGAGAAAGGAAAAAGAAATTGAAACTTTTCAAAAGAAAAAATTGTAGTAAATGTTGGATTTTGTGGTTGTTGGGAATATGTAATAGCACTAAAACAAAAAAGGTGTTGATGAATTTTCTTTTTAATTTTAAAGCGTGTGAATTTCACATTAACCTTTAGGATCAATTTGTCTCCACCAATTATAATATATTGGATGCAATTGAGATTAACAGCTAATTTCCTTTAGAATACTTTGAATTCTTTAATGTGAATACTTTGATAATCGATTACAAAATGATATTTCTTAAGCTTCACTCATGAATTAATAAAGTGAAAGATGATTTAGAATAATATAAATGGTAGAGAAAGGGGTGTGTGTATTTCTATTTTCGTGTGTATTCTACTTCTCAAGTGTTTTTATTTATAGATAAGTTCAAGCCATTTGATGAACAGAAACACCATTTGAAAAATAATCTATGCACCTGTATAATGAACTCGTATATTGTTTGGCATACAAATTTATAGCCAAGAAAAATGCTAGATGAGTTGGTAAAGTTGTGCCATTTTAGCCAAGGGTCATGTGTTTGAACCGCATATCCATTAATTTTAGAATAAATTTTATTCTACTGAGTGCATAGTATTACGCCTTACCACTAAACCATATATTTCAAGTACCATTAAAATCAATAACAACTCATATACATATTACAAAATTAGAGTTTGCATAATATTTTGGAAATCATTTATCTCATATTTCTGGAAAATCATAGTTTCATATAATGGTATCTTAAGATTTGAACCATTATTTTTTAAATTGAATACGCCTTACCACTAAACCATATATTTCAAGTACCATTAAAATCAATAACAACTCATATACATATTACAAAATTAGAGTTTGCATAATATTTTGGAAATCATTTATCTCATATTTCTGGAAAATCATAGTTTCATATAATGGTATCTTAAGATTTGAACCATTATTTTTTAAATTGAATTTTCACATGCATCCCCGAATAGATTGGTAAAGAAGTTTTGAACCAATTATTCATTAGAACAAGGATGCATAATTCACACATGAAATCGTGGTACTATCAAAAGAATTATAAAAATTGACACATTTAATATGATATTGTGTCACGTACCCTTTTCACGAGAATTTAAGAGTAAAACTCTCTAACTCTATGAATCGGCCTCACTTCATTCTCATATAGGTTAACTATATCATAAATGCACCCATAATTATGCATTTTCTACAAATTTTGCTACATGTCCATTAGGAGTAAAACTCAGTCTTCCATCTTTTACTTATGGTCCCCAAAAGGAAGAGTTCACATTAGATGAAATGAACAAGAGATAACATGACATGCACAACATCAACACAACATGATCCTCAAGATCTCCTCCCCTTAAAATGACGGCCTCTTCCTCCAAACTGATAGTCTTGAGGTGGTGGAGGTTGTTGCTCATCCAGCCGCTCAGTAAGTTTCAGCACAACCTAGTTGAGAACGTTGAAGCTTATAGTAAGAGCGCGATTTTTACTTGCAATGATTCAACCATAATGTCAAAACGTCCCATGACGGAGGTGGCGAATGTGTTGAAATTGTTGGTCTGAGCTTGAATTTGGTTCTACAGTGTCGTAAATCGTTCATCCTGGGCGGTAGCAAAATTATGTTGTTGGAGTAGCATATTTCTCATCATCTTAAGGAGTTCATCAGTGTTTTGTTGAGGACACGGAGGAGAGTGAGGCATATAATACGACTCTTGGTGATTCCAATTGTTTGTTGGAGACATGTATTCTGAACCAAGAGAGGTTCAACCGGTATGTTGCCATTCACCTCATCCTTGGTTTGCATAAGAATCCAAAGGAGGTGATTGATCCAACTAGCCACTATTGTCTTGTTCAGCAGCATTGAAATCAGTCTCTATTTGATGATCATCTTCTTCTTCTTCCTCTTCTTCTTCACTTTCATCGGACTCTTGTAGTTGTGAACTAGTATCCTTAACTATGAACTTGTAGCGAGTCTCTTGTGGATCCCATATGTAACACATCATTGTCAATGTCTTTTGAATGAATTTTTGGTTAGCTGTCAAAGTCTTATATGGAATTTCTAGGACTACCACTTCAGCATGGTTAAGCACAGATTGAATGAAAGATGCATATGATAACACAGTGCCTCTGCCAGAATCTCTCAGAGAATAAATCCTGCTTGCAATATAGTGCGGTCAACTGATATTTATCTTCTTCTTCAAAAGGTACACCAAGTAAACTTCAGCTTGATCGACCCGGGAGTAACCTCCTTTCTTAGGCCAAAGTATATAAGAAATTATCCATTGCAGGATTCGATCAACTGGTTTTAAACGACGAGTAGTTACCAACTTGGGAAAGAGATCACTAGCTACAATTTGATCAGTAAATGGTTTCTTTAACATGGAGTTCAACTTGAACTCATAATCGTCCATGGTTCGAGTGTCAATGACCTTAATGAGTGGAGCAGAGAGTGGAGACATGTTGAACAAATCTTTCCAAACTGCATCATTTACCGAAATCCTTTTATCGCCTATTTTGCAACTAAACTCATCCCATCAAATTTGCCTTGAAGACCCGTATAGAATACTCGAACGAGATCCTCATTATACTTCGTGTAACATTCCAAAAACATATTGAAGTCTTGAAAATCCAGAAGTTCAGGAACTTCCTGAATGTGCATTCTTTCGACAGTTTTATGATAGTAGACGAATTGTTTCACAATAGATCGTTTGTTAAGATTCTTTTCATATAATTCAGCATATTCAGTAGGAAGTAAAGAAAGAGCAGTTACCGGAAGACTTTCCCTTGGTTGGGAAGTACTAGCATGTGAAGATGGAGCTCTAGTAGTTCTTTTTCTGGTGACCCTTCTTCTAGCCATGAGGTTCAACAGATGAAGAAGATAAACAGTAGATTGAGCTTACTTTGTTGATGAGAAACTCAGTGGAAACCTTGTGGTATTTGAGGAACTTTCTTGAGATTAGGTCTTGGTAGAGATTTTGGGAAGAGGAGAAGTGGATGAGAGATGTGTGGATGCAATGAACTAATGAAAATGATGATGTTTGAAAGCATAGAATGAAGGAAAACATTAAATGGGTCAAAGAAATTGAAACGACACTACAAATTCAAGGATTTTTCAGAAACATTTAGCGACACGTCGACCTAAGCAGTATGTGCATCGACGCATACTAGCGAATTTTTGACAATGAGAAAATTACACAGTTTGAGTCGATCGAAGGGTCGACCTGTGCATACCCGATCCAATATCTTAAAAATTAACACTTTCGTGAGTCGACCTATGACCTCTTTTGGTTGACTCACACAGTCAAAATGATTAAAATACATCTTTTTGAGTCCTTTAAGCATTAAACATGAATAAATAGAGAGCCTACACATATTTCAACTCACCAATGGATAAAACATGTTCAACCAAGGAATAAATATCAATTTTAACACACAAATTGGTACACTAACTTACACATATTATGTGATCAAGAAATTTTTTTTAGAGAGGAACGATATTACCTCAACGACAATCAATGATAGATGCCCTCACATATAGCTCAACACTTCTTCACATTGTTAGACAAAGATATAGACAAGAAAATATATAGAGAGAAAGCAATCATGAAACCCTAAACACGATCCGAGATGTCGAGAACGCCTAGTTCCCTACGGATGTTAAAGAAAAGTTATGTAGCTAGTGGTTTTGTGAAAATATCTGCAAGTTGATTTTTAGTATCAACATGCTCAAAGACCACATCACCTTTCTCCACATGATCCCTAAGGAAATGATGACGTATTTCGATGTGTTTGGTGCATGAATGCAATACGAGGTTCTTGGTTAGATTGATGGTGCTTGTATTATCACATAAAATAGGAATACGCTCGAGTTTAACATTGAAGCTAAGTAATTGTTGTTTAAGCCACAAGACTTAAGCACAACAACTACTGGCTGCAACGTGTTCCGCCTCGATTGTTGACAAAGCAACAAAAACTTGCTTTTTGCTATGCCAACTCACCAAGGAATTTGAAAAGAAATGACAAGTTCCATTTGTGC